TTGAACGAATCATTGATGCAAACCCCCTCAAATTCCAGGTGAATAAAATAGAAAATTTCTATGAATTCTAGTCAGACTTGAAGTATTGGATTTTCTTTTTCTTTTTTGGACACCAGAAAAACAAACGTAGCACAAAATGTAGTCACTTTATTACTAACTCAAAAAAGTGAAATACTGCCCAAATGTAACTATAGGCTCTTATTTGGGAATGTTTTCTGAATTAAACCTGAAGGCTTGTAAAACATTACAAACAGCTCCCATCGAAATTAGTGACTGCATTCCAGTTGGACCTGATCTGTTAGAGACGCAAGGAAGCCACAAATCTGATTGCAGAAAATCAGTCTGTAATAATCTGCCTGAAAAGCTATGTTTGATGTAAGGCACATTCACTAAATATTAGAATCTGTTAAGTACTAGAAAGAAAATCTTGAAGTTTGTATTTTATATACCAGCAGTCCTTTCTTTGGAGGATAATCATTCAGTCATGGAAAGTTTTGTTTGAGAAAGGACTACGAAATTTTGACATAGCATAATATATTCTGAGTTTCTTGTTAAATTAAAAAAACAACAACAAACTTTGGAATGAGACTATTACATTTTACAAAACACTGCATCACAAAGGCAACAGAATTTTAAAAAACCCTATACTTGAACACATTTCAGGAAAAAAATAATGGTTTTAATACACGGAAAACATTATTGTGTTATGGACACTGGAAATGTGGTTGTATTCTTTATGAAGTATGTTTATGTTGTCAGATGGATCCCTGAGAAAGCAAGCAGCAATTTATTTTCAGAAGTTATAAAATGCCAAATAACCTAGTTGTCTGTTAAATGCTGTAGTAAAATACCCAGAAGGATAAACACTACAGCTCTAGGAAAAGAAAAATATTACGTGTGTAATCATTATGAGCATGCTACTGTTGGACAAAAACAGTCATTCACATTCAAGCTAACTAAACTGGCAAGACAGAAAGAGATGGTCTAAGGTAGGTTTAGGAAAAAACCTTCTGGATTAGACACTTGGGTTCATCAGTGCATGTTCCACTTGCACTGTTATGAAAACATTTATCACTACCACAGCTATTTTATTACAAAACCAGTGTTTCATGAGATGAAAATGGATAATAGTAAGTAATTGGATTTTTTTAACAGAATGAACATTCACAAATATACTAAAAATTTAGCAGGGAATGCTTACATATTACTAAAGAAAATATAATATGCATCACACACAAAAGCATTCAAATTACTATTTGCTTAAATGTAGATACATCAGTATTTTGCTGCAATTAGGTTCATGGATCTAGATCTTTGTCCAAGCAATGAACAAAATTAGGCAAGCAGAAGTAGAAATTTTACGATTTTGTAATAATGATTTGTTACATTACATCTGTTTATGTCTTTACACGGTTGGAAATACGCAGAAAATAACAAAAGATGATCCTGGGCATAAAGAGAAATGTAAAGCCTATTAATCTTAAGAGCCTAAAGTTGCAAGCTGAAGCTCTCATCTCTGTGAATTTCAATCTGTCAGTATCACATAATCAAACACACTGTGTTAGCAACATGCATGCATGAAGCACAAGACAGCCAGCAGAACAATCTCTGAATACACAATCCGAAGACAAATATATAATCTGTAAGTTTTAAGTGACATCATTTCTCAGAGATTGCTCAGTTTTGCAGGGGGGAGAAAAAACACAATAATTCTGTAATTACATGGTAATTTTTGAGAACATAAATGGATGGTAAATACTGTAAATTTATATATAACCAAATGATAATTATGTTTTATATTTGAAAGAGTCATCAAGGAACAGAAGCAGTTAATTAAATTGACTCATCTGCTTTCATCAAATTTGTAGAAGTACATAATAAAGTCAGACAGAAACATGAGATTGGAATATACACTGAGTTCGCTGGAAATTGTTATATTGGTTATAAATACATGTATGTGAAACTATTTAACTATGCAGGATCCAAAGAACTTTGTATTAGGCAAGTCAATTCATTTTAATACTGTTAGCCCAGTTGACAGTCCCTGAAGATCTCTGCCTAGATTCATATCAGGGGGCTAACCTATCCCACCTCCTAACAGTCACGATACGGGCTGAGACTGGCACCTACTCACCACGACATTCCTCTCACTCTGAAGAAACAACTCTTTCTATCAAAAACCCCTTCTACAGATGAGTGTAATGGTCGGAATTTCCTTTCATTTCACTTTGACATTTCACATTTCTGCTCCCTGGGCAGAATTTTTCTCTTCACTTATGCAAGACTTTTTTGATCTTCCTCTTTGTCAGTAGGTATAACATAGTCTGTGGAAAATTTTATAAAATAAAACAAAAATGTGAAGATGGAAAGGGAACTGGCTTTAGAGTACGGCAGGAAATGAGCCAATGCATTTGATTGTACATTTCTTTATGGGAATTAAAAAAAAATATCATAGATAGTTGAGAGAAAGGAAGAAAGGTTAAGTAAGGAGCATAAATGTTCATAAAGTATAGTTTTAGCACCATAAAACCAGGTCAAACGTATATGAAAAATGTAGAGGCAGATAAACAGCAGAGTGCACACAGTCTTTCATCATCTTGTACATTCATCTAAATTCTGAAAGAAAAAGGTTTGTTTGAGATAGCAAAGTATAAGCTTCAAATATAAGCTTCAAAACACTGGATTTTTTAATATTATTTTATTTTTTAAGAAATACTCTATCCCAACCTATTTTTCCTATTTTTTTTTTCTTAAAACACAGTAATACTCTTAAGATCTACACATTGCAGGGGATGTACAATCAAGCACACAGTGTGGATAAAGATTAGTTCCGAGAATGAGTACAAGTTCCTATGAGTGAAATAAATCTGACAGAGTACGAGTGGAAACTACTTCCTCCACAGGTCTTGTACTAGTCTGCACAGCTGTGAATATTCTTGTGTTTGAATTCTTTATCCCCTAAGTATTTATATAAAAAAATGACTCATTAGAAATAACTGTTAGCTAAATTCACAAGAACTCATAGAATACATTAGCCTACTCTCAACATTCAGAGCTCTGTGCTTACTATATGTCTGAGTGATACCACAGAGTTCAAAAGATGCTGAGTTGCGTTAATAAATTATTACAAGGATAATATATTTGATACATACTTGTGTTTCCATCAGGAGCTGATGAGTCTAAATATGACATATTATTACTAAAGTATTAAAATAACATTGTATGACAAAAACACAACAAAAAATATATTAATGCAACTAGCACACTTTTCTGGAACAGAAACTATTTATAAGATCCAGGATTTAAAAAAAAAACTTTAAAAAAAAAAAACCACAAAAGCTGCTTTTTTAGAAAAGGCACTTTTTTTCCCCCTGCATCAAATATGTGCTAATCAGCAGTTCTAGCACTTTGGTAATTTTAGAAAACAGACGGTTGACAGACGTTTAAGAGAAGAAAAACACAGAAAGAGAATGTAGTGTATCTGAAAGTATTTTACATTTATACCTTCTAGGTACTGTCCGTTCATTTACTTTGTAGGCTTTTAATTCCAGGATGTGTTTGAATTTTGTTGGAACTAAACTTTGTTTAGAAACACTGTAACTATTTCTCCATACAATTAATCAAAAATGTTAAACAGGTTGATCTCCAAAATATCAACGTGGCAACCCAGAAATTACTCCTGTTCTCTCAGTTCGCAGAGTCTCTACCTCAGAGTCAGAAGTCTTGTTTGGTAACCGCGGAGAACACCTCGGTTACATACTTTCACTATGGATTCACAGCAACACAATGGAGAAGGATTTGAGATCAACTACTGCATCCTAAGTGAAATCATTTGACTTAACCACATAGTTGTAAAATGCTCATGTTTTGCATTCCTTTTTTTTTCCCTGGGGCCCAATATTTAATTAACTATATAAAGTGGATCATCCTTAGCTGTATCCCATAGTCCTCACCGAGGAAGCAGGATTTACAGGTCCATACCCTGCTCCAAAACAGCATGAGATGTGACTTGATAACCTACCTGCTATTTGAAAATGGTAACTACCTGGCTATTGGAAAACAGTGTCTAGCCAAAGCCAAAAATGTCTGATTCCTGCCTGTGCCCTCTTTTATGCTTTATTTGGCAGTCATGATCTGAGGAGGCCTAAGACTCTGGATCTGACTGGTGAGGTAGGCAGGAGAAAGCCTTGCTGAAAATGCCTCTGGGGTTAGGTGTGAGCTTGGGATTTGAGTGTCTCGCACAAGCAGGACGTAGGCAGTTCTGACATGCCTGCTGGCAGAAACTATGTGGACTTCAGCATCACTGGGGCAACTGCAGGGTAAGAGCAGATAAGTAAGAGTTTTAAAAATCTTAGAAGCAGTTAAACGCTGCTGAAAGAGAATGGAAATTAAAAATCTCTATCTGTAAGGTTAATTTTTAAAATGAAGCTTAGGTGTGTTTGAAAATATCATCCTGATAACTCAAAACTAAATTTAAACATACAGCATAAATGCAATTGCATTTTTTTTCCTTTTTTCGATTATACATTCCTTTACAGCAGCTTGATGGCAGGGAAACTCCAGCTGACTAAAGCTAGTGTAACAGAGCAGAAAATCCAGCTCTCTGTCTAGTTTGGTCTAATCTCTAATTCACATGCCTAAAAAGTTAGAGAGATGCAGCAGTTGACCCAAAGATCAGGGGATATCAAATCTCCAGACTTTTGGTCCAAGCCAGTCAGAATGGTCCTGTTTCATGGAGTATCAATATTACAAGGTCTAAAGTCTGTCCTAACTTAGCAAAGCCAACAACCTTGCACCTATTAGCAGTTAACCCATGAGACTAACCATGCATTTAAGCACAAGTATACTACTAAACACATAAATAGACACTGTTTAGATTGCTACAGCGGTGACATAGTTTTAACATCTTGATGGGCTGAACTCTGAAGACAACAAGGTTTACTAATTCTTATAAATATCCTCCAAAATATGATTTTTCATAAATGAATGACTGTTTTCAACTATGTTGACAACAGTACTGTGTCCCCTGAAGTTATTTCAGAGTCCTGACTGTGTGTAGAGCTGATTCCAGTGTCAGAGTCGGTATCGTTTATGTCCAGATTAGTCACTCTATGAACAAAGTCAGGAACAGCAGTGGTGTTAGTGGACATGCCACTACCCTTGGATGGCTCTTCATTTGATGGAGGCCTAGTTTCAATGTTGTCTTTAATATGTAGTAAATTAAATTCTTCTGTAAGAAGTTCATATTCTTTTTCCTTCTTTTGAAGCAGTGAGTCCCTGTATGTAAGTTCTTTCTGAATGCAGCTCAGATATGAGTTGATTCTCAGACCATCTTTCATACTTTTCTCCAGCTCACATTTTACACTTTCCAAATTTGAGTTTTCCAGTTCAGCATTAGCAGCTCCTTCTGTGTGAATATCATCTACATTTTTTTCTGTGCATATGCCATGTACCTCTCTTTCAATTTCAGCACATAGCTTCTCTATTAATTGTTTGTGATGTTTCAGTCTCTCTTCAACCTGTAAAATTCCGTCACTTTTGCTCAAATAGTCATGCACCTCTTTTTGATCATCTGGCCTACTCCCTTGTTGCTCAGCCTCCCTTGGACTGATCATTAAATAGGAGTCCTGCACATAATTTTCTCCATCATTGGCAACACGATCTAGATGGAACTTTGCTTCACATTTTTCAATTTCCATATCTAGTTCCTTCATTCTCAGGACTTGTTGATGAATGGTATGATCTTGAGAAATGATCAGATGAATCAGTGTCTCCATATTATCTCTCTCCTGCGGAACACTGTCCTGTTTAAGCTTGGCCAGTTTCCTGAAAGTCTTCCTGACAATTTTCTTTTGTTTGTCTATCGGCAACATCTTCATGTAATTTGCAGGACTGAGCTCCCACTGTTTTTCTACATTTTGTACTACCTTAGCTTCAGCTGTCTTCCACAATGGAAATGAGAGGAAAGCATCTGACTTTACCAACATAAAGTGCAAATTAGACTGCTCTTCTCCCCAGGCCTTCCAAAGTCTCAGAATCTTTGTCAAAGGAGGAAGTACTCTTTCCGAGCCTCTCCATTTTTCTACAATGCAGTAATCACTAGCTTTTCCAAAAAGGACCTTTTTCTCTCCACATGTTGCCTGATGTTCCTCAAGCAGTGCTTGAATCACTTCTGCGCAAGTTGTGCGCTTTGTCAGGCCACATACAATCTTCTCTTCCTGGCAAACCCAAACCACAATCTCTCTTTCATTTGAAGCCATATCCTTGTTGGGAGACCTGGAAAACAAGAAGAGACCAAATATAACTGGAAAACAAGAAGGGACTGTATGAATAATAACTGTAATTCTAATATGATTACCACATTTAAAAATCCCCATATTATTGTACAAGACAATATACTTGTTTCAATTACATGAAGAAATAACTTTGAATTAAGTAACAGAAAAACACACTCACTTCAGCTACTGCTTTAATATTATTACTAGTCCAGCTGAATATGACTCTCACACAAACTCTTTTACCAAATTTAGTTTTCATATATATAAGCATGTATTAAGAATAGGTCATAAAGTTTGGCAATCTGCATTACATTTCCAGACTATTCTAGGATAACACAACTTTCAGATCTGCATTATCGGTTCTCATCACATAGACATTGCGCAAACTTTTGTAAGCTCTTAAAATCACTGAGGCTTCTGAAGGGAAGAATCATGCCTCCAAATATGCACTGAACGTACGGACTAAGAAAAGATGATTGGATACCAGCTAAGTTAAAAGAACTTGATGATAGGATAAATCTGTAGCTCTTTTGCCACACCTGCACCCACACAAGCATAAACACCATTGTTTTCCATTGCAATTTTTCACTGACAAATCTCAAGAAATCTGTTGCTTTTCCTGAAGAACCAAACAGCCTGAATTCCAGTGAGTTGTGAGAGAATGCCAACTGCGATAGAATACATATATAGGTCAGTATTTTACAACTTTTGCAATGATACAGAAATGGTAGAAAATGTAAAAAGTTTTAATTTTTTTTTAATTTATTTATGAATTCCAATGAATGTATTAACCAGACATTAGCAGCTGGTACCTCCTCATACATTTTGATACCTAACTTCCAGTGTCTAAGACCTCATTACAGCTATCATAGCTGTCTAATCAATACAATCAGCGGAGCCTAGAGAGCGATTCAGCTGACCAAATACAGAAGTTCACTTTACATTTAACTCTTAAGTTTGTCCCCATCTGAGTAGTCCTGGACTGCCAAGGGCCTACACTGGTACAGTGGCCTTGCGGAACCTGTCCAGGATTTTCCTGTCCTCCAGCCTCCACATGCATAATTCACTACTTGCCCAAACCTGGTGATTTGGCCTCTTGCCTAAAACGATAAAACAATAAATTCCCTGAGGAAAAATGCATTTATTTGGATTTTCTGGTATCATTTCTAGTTCATTTGAATGAATGAGATTTAATCCAGTCTGACAGAGAAAGCTTGAAAATGAAAATCATGATTCTTGCAACATTCTAAGGGCTCAATACCACATCTGTTTCTATCTGGGACTACTTATTCACCGTACTTTTCTAGTCTTTTGAGATGTAGTAGGAATGGAGTTTTACTTGGCTTAATTAGGGTTATACCCTATGATTATTAAAGCAATCCAACTTGTTTCTTTTTCTTAATTACTACACAACACAAAAGACAAACTGCAATCCAATAAATTGAACCATGATTGAGTCAGCTCTAGGAGCCACTCTGACCAGGAGGCAATAATCCTCAAAAGACAGGAGACTGCAAATTAATACTAATAAAACCTACAAGAGTGAGTTTATTAGTATCATCACACAGGAGAGCTCTGTCCAAGTACATTGCTTCAGGTCTTGGAACATTCCTCTCTAAAATTTGTGTTTTGGTAGATTACCCTGAATAATGACATCATTTTCCCACTTCAGTAGCTCCCTCTTACATGCCAGCATTTTATAGTAATTATTTTTTAAAACTGATGTTCAGAAGATTAATAATTTTTTTATAAACTACTCAGAATAGGAAAGCTTATGTCACAGACATAGAAAATGGCAAAACAGCACAAAGAAACAGAAATATTCAAGTTTAAAGGAGGGGAGGAAATGAAAAATGATATAAAATTAAACTGCATTACTGTTAAGTATGTCACCTGCTAAAAAGTCAGTATCTGTAAGTGTTTTTAGGTTTACAGAATACACAATGCTATAGAAATATTTTTGTCTGTTGGCAGATTGGTAGTTAAATTAAACTTACATAAATAGACCATTGCAACATAAGTCAGTTACGACTGTCAAATAACTCAGTATTTGTTTTACACCACAGATACAAAAAGAAAAAACTAGACAAACTACAGAGTTACATTATTTGTTAAGCATAAAATTATGCAAAATGAATTATCAAAAATACATTGTGTCAAACCATGTTTACTACTGATACACAAATAATTAACCTAGAAATAGAAGTGTATTACCAGTCATTGAATCTCAATTTATAAAAGTACTAATGGGTAGTAAGGGGGGGGTGGAGGGGGTGGTAGGAGGCATAAAAATATGAGATACCAGATTGGGACTTTGAGGCAGTTAATTCAGAGTGTGCCTTTTCTGTGTTTTTTTTTTTTTTATCAGTAAATACATTTCAGGGAATTTTTGTTATCTCAGTCTTTTAGCATTCTTCCGAGAGTCTTACGCAATTTGTTTGCACATCAAAACTCTTCCTGCTTTTTTCTCATACTTCTTTTTGGTTGATTGCCATATCTTCTCCTAGTCAATATTTTCAGTGCGTAACAGATTATGTGAGTTAAGCAGAAGCTTACTGTCTCTTTTCCTCCTGGTTCTGTTAAAGCTTTCCTATGAAGATGGTTTCTCTCTGTGATATTAGTAGATCTTCAGATAAATTTGAAAAACCTTGGACTTCCCACAGACTTCAGCAGGTTTTTTCAAGCTTCTGATGGAAATAAATTGTTTATTGTAAAGCAATCTCTACAGGATCTCTGCAAACAATATGGGTATAAAATAACATTTGTAAATTACTGTTTTCAATAATTTTTTAGCTTTTTATCAAACCCTGTTATTTTTTCAGTTACGATGTACCTGTCTACTCAGACACTACATTGACCTTTTTGGGGAAGGATTGTTCTTTACTCAGTCTATAGCTTATTCAACATACCAAAGCCGGTAACTAGCAATGGCACTACACAAATGGATAATATATGCACATGCAGGTACACAAAGAACTCAAGTAGCTTACACACAAAAATAGTTACTTATAAATATATGTATATGTATGTAGAGCGTATGTAACATACACTTGGTAATTATATGCTCACAATTTACAGACAACAAGAGAAGAAAAAAAAAATTCTGAACATTGCCGTAATTCTTGGATCAAAACAGAACTGTAAAGTGCAAATTCTTTCATTATTTTTTCCATGTGTTTGTCACAACAGATTTTACCCTCATTTCTGTTCAGCAGCCTCACAAAATTTTTGAACTTTCTTTTTAATCAAAAAGAATTAGCAAGTCATTTATAATCTTACAGTGCCATGGAATTCTAATATCTTCTAAAAATCAAAAGTGTTCTTTATTATCTTCCATTAATAAGTGGTAAACTGGTGTGGCCTACTAAGGACCTTTTAAGTAAAATTTATTGTATAATTCTTTAATCATAGTTAAGTCAGGCAGTGCCAAAGAAAAATGAAGCTTCAGAGTGTCAGTCACAGCATAAAAATTATTAAAGACTTGCTTTCAGGATGCAAGAAGATGCTATAACTAAGGAAACATCTTCTGTTAAACTCTCCTTTCCTCATAGAAAGTGGAGAGCAGATTCTGCATATGCAAAGTGGAGTCCATCTCACTTAGGCATCTGGAAGTTAAGATTTCAGTTTAAATTCACCATCAAAGTTCCTGCTTGTTGTGGGAGGAGAGTGGACCTCCAAGGAGAAAGTCACCACAGCCTAAACCATTTATGATCACTGGGATGCATCCTCAAATGAAGCTATTTATTTCTTTCATTAATTACAAGAGACATATGTGGCCACCTTCAACTAAATAGCTCATTTTCAGGTAGCTAAATACAGGTCAGTGTGATCCAAACAGACTCTGGTTTATTGTCAGAGAGAAACGTAGCAAGAATGGTTCAGTCAGCAGCAGATTTAATACAGATAACTGAACATGGGACCTACAGCCATTTCATATCTTAGTTCAGATGCTGACTGCTTCACTTGCTGTTCAATTTATTACTATATTTTATAAGGAAATCTATTAAGTCATTTCAATACTAAGGAAGATGCAATGCAGTTTGTAACTCCTCATCTTGAATACATATCAGTCGTTGACAGTGAAACTTTTTTTTTTCTTGAGACGTCATACTAAAATTAACAGTATTTAGCAACAAGATCTTCTTTTACATAGTGATTTCAATGAAGAGGCAAGCTTCTTGTATTTACTGATTCCTTGTCCTTCACATCCTACGGTTTTGTAAACAAACCAAAAGAACCATAATTTTCTAATAACCTATCAATTAATGAATCTGTAATAGCTAAAGTGTTGTTCCAGTTCAATTGTTTGGCTCTCTTGAAGAACAATTTCAGTTGCAAATTCTTCAAAACTAGCTAGGCAAATTCTTCACTTTTTTCAAAAATTTACTGCTGTTGCTGTAAACAGGTTTTAAAGCCTTCAGTTGTGGCTTGAATTCTGTTTCCTTGAATTGATCACTGAAATATTCTATTTATCCATCTACGATTTTAAAGTCTTGATGATAACGAGAACATGCAGGTCTGTCTTTTTTTGCAAAGTCACGAGTTGCCCAGGAACAGATGAGTATTTAAGCTTAAGAATAGTCAAAAGTACATTTCCAACCTTTTTTCCTTGTTTGCTTTCACCTTCTACTCTTTGCTTCTTTATATGATGACCCAAATAAACATTCTAATCATGTTATAGACCTCACACAATGTCTTGATTGTGTCAGCACAAGCTGACTGCTGTGTGTCAGATATACACTCCACCAATTTATTATTCAAGCCTAAAGGAAAAAAGGTAATACATTCCAGTAATGCACAGACAAAACAAAAACATGTACTTGTGTAGCACAAAGTCAAAATATGAGATTGCTTAAATGCTTAAAGCAGTACTTTCTATATTCACCGAATTTAAGAGACATCCAGCACAAAAACACAAATCATATGCATAATTCTTCTCCTTCCTGAAAATTTTAACATTCTTCCTAAATATGCGACATACAGTTTTACAACAAATC